CTGATAAATATTAATCTTCTCTGGATCTCCATAATACATGTATGTGTCCATCACAAGTTTCACGAAGAGGTCATTTCTTTCTTTTTCATGTAGTTGTACCTCTTTTTGATAGTATATATTTATTTCTTCTAATTTATTAATTGTTCTTTAAATGATTTATTTTTAAACAACAACGCTGTACTATTAAAATTAAAATAGTGTGAATTATTATATTTTAAACATCATTTTAATATTACTTTAAATTTCAGTGTTACATTATTAAATAAACTCTCACTCGTCTTTTCTTGTGAAACTGGTTTTTACTCTGTTATTCCTTTTTCATTGGTTATCTTTTTTTTAATCTTTTAAACGTGTTTTATTTTATTATCATAATATTAAATTGATATTATAAATATCTATTTATAAACAAACTTTTATTGTTTTCTTTTTCAAATTTCTCATCGTGTTGATATTTTGAAGTGATCAATTTTTTTGAGTTTTTGATTTGATCGATTTTAACGTTCTTTTCTTGGACATTGTATCTATTTTGTCTTGATAAGGTTTTGTGTCTATTTTGCATTTTTCATTAAGAAGTGCTATTTTAATATCACATATCTCGTCCAACTTTTTAATGTCGTTTTCTATTGAATACAAAGCCAAATCTTTTTTGATTTTGTTTAATGTATTATCCAAACTTAATATAATTGTGTTGAGTGAAGTTGTAATGTTTATTTTTCTTTTAATGGTCTCATCAAGTCTGTCAAAGTACCCCTCAGCGTTTTCAATGCGTTGTGCAATGTCAAGTGACTCGTTGTCAACATAGTTGTTTTCTATTTTAAATGCTTGGAGGTCTGAAATCGCCTTTTCTGTATCAGTATATAATGTTGATAAATCTTTTAATTGGTTTTCCATTTGTTGTTTTTCAGTTTTTAGTACAGTAATATTTACTGTAGTTTCATTTTTCAGAACTTTATGAAAAATATAATATAAATTTATTATAAACAATATTATCACTTTAAATAAATCGAACTATAAAAAAGACAAGAAACAAAACAATTAAAGTTTCACTAATAAATCAGCCAATTGTTTATGAAAAATAAATTATACTTGAATGTTAAAAAAATTGCATTATTTTTATTTTTAACATTTATTTTTTTTTTGTTGCATGATATCACTAGTACAGTCAAACGTTTCAAAAGTGGGAAGTGTGGTAATTTTATTTTTCTCAAGAGCGGGCATTTTTAGCCAATCAAACCTTGATTACCGCTATGTAAAAAAATTCTATTTAAAGTTTTAGTCGAATTAATACACACTCTTAAAAAAACCCCGCTCTTTAGAGGTACCATTTTTGTGAGGTATTGCTATATGTTACATTTTGGAAACGACTGTTGATTGTAAAGGTTAGATTTTTTAATTAATAGTGTATTTAAACGATTAAGTTGTTTTTACAAATCGTATTAAAGACATAGAAAAACAACATCATAACTTACATAATAATGACCATCACCACCACAAAATTTAAAAATAAAAAGTAATATTCTGTGTGTAATTTTGCAATTCACCTGGAAGTGTTGTTGCAGTAATATTAGTACTTAGGTGTTGTTTATTGACAATAATTAAAAATAAACTTAAACTTATCGTTATCACTTGATGTTGCTTGTTCATAAAGTTAAACACAAATGTACATACCATTATTAATTATGAAACTGTCCAGCCAAAAATCAAAAATTAATGAATCAAATGGGTTTCATTTTAAATCAACTTTTTACACTTTAAATATTTGTCACATTTTGAATTGTGTTTTAATTACTCTTTGTTCGTTCAGATGTAGTACACTTTTTTGTCCATACCAGGTTGAAGTTGATGTGATATAGTCAATATCAAACATAAAAAGTTAATAAAATAAATCGCTTATTATTTTATTGTACAACTCAATTTGTTCTTTTCTGACACAATTAATCATTAGAAATTAATAGCAATAAATAATAATATTTCGTTATCTATTTACTATAGATAAAATAAAATTGATATTTTTTTATGTTATTAAGTTTAATTGTTGAATTAACATTAAAATATTTTAATTTATCTGTCTAATTATAATATATAATTTTATGATTTTAATGTTTGGATTATGATTATCATTTGAATTACAAAAGTATATTATATTATATTAAAAATTATAACAAAGCAAGAGTGGCCGAGTGGTCCAAGGCGCTCGTTTCAGGTACGAGTCTTTTCGAAGGCGTGGGTTCGAACCCCACCTCTTGCATTTTATATACAGTTGATGTTTATATTTTTATAAACATGTTTATGAAGTGACTTAAACACTTTTAATAAAGAGATAAATCAGATTCAATTTAAGGTTTGCATTTATTAATTTTAATAAATAATTCAATTTTGTTTTTGGAACTACCATTTTTAATTATTTATATGAATCAATAAATAATTTTAATAACAATAAAAAGAAATAAAATTAAAATAACCTATATTATTTAATTGTCGTTTTGCATTGTTTGCATCGTTTTATAAACATGTTTTTTTATTATTTGACAATTATTGAATTTACTGATAATTATTGTGTTCAATAATTTCACTTAATATTATTGTGTTAACAAACAAAAATTTTGTTAAATTACATTTCAATCAAATCATATCTAAATTAAATACATTAATTTAAAGTAATGATAATTGTTAACAACTGTTGTTATATGTTTATATTTAATGTAAATAATGTAAATATTATATTTAGGTCATATAATAATTATTACATTTTAAACAATAAAATTTGTACATACAAGTTGACAATATTTTTGTAAACATCAAAACAACATTTGAATTATTAAACAATTGTTTCAATTTACATAATTTAATAAATGTTGATTTTTGCAATAATATAATTGTGAAAACAATAAAAATTGTCATGTAAAAATATCAAGGTTTGTTAAAATAAAAATCTTAATTTAAAGTATAAAATAAATATACATTATTAAGTGAATAGTTATTATTTACTCACATTTATTAATTGGATTCAAATTGTGTGTCTTAATGATATTCAAATATTTTTATTATAGTATATATATGTAATGAAATATATCAATAATAACTATGTATTTATGTATTAAATTAATATTTTAAATTATCGTTTTAAGCTCATCAATGATTTCATTGATAGTACCACTCTTTTGATTCTTTTGTTTTCAACACTTTTCAATGACATTTCAATACTTTTTATCAAGTGTTTTAATAATCATTGGTCTTTTCCCAAAAGCTACATCATCTGCAAAAGTCCATGGAAATATGTAAGTACTTTTTGGGAACGCCTCACTCCACAAAAAGCATTCAAGCATTGTAATAGCAAAAGAATAGACATCTGCTATTTTTTTGTAATGCTCTTTGTTCTAGATTTCGGGTGCCATATATTTAGGTGTTCCAACTCCCTTAGTGAATATCATATTTGTCATCAACATGTTGACATTTCGACTTGCTCCAAAATCAGTCAACTTAGCATTTGCTTTGTTGTTCAAATCAAGTGAAAACACTAAGATATTGTCTGGCTTGATGTCTCTGTGTAAAATATCATTTGAGTGCAAATATGAAAAACCATTCGCTGCGTTCAACAATATTTTTACTCGCATTTTCATGTCAACTTCTTCACTTGTTTTGTGTTTTATCAAGTCTTGTAAAGATCCATATTGTGCTAATTCAGTGACCATACACACTTTATTTGTAATAAACATAGCGCCATAGAGGTGGGTCATGTACTCACTTCAAAATTTGTCCAACATATTCACTTCCTTTTCAAGTTCGTCAATTGTGTCTTCATTACCACATAATTTCATCTTTTTAATTGCATCAATGTTTTATCTGAAAGTCCCTTGTTAAATAATTCCAAAAGATCCTTCACCAAGTATGTTATCCTCTACCAACTCGTCTGGATCAAGTCGTGTCATCAGTTTTGAAGTTGTTGTTATTGTTAGTTTCTTAATAACATCATCTTTTTTGTGAACGAGTTTGCGACTAACACAACACTCTCATCCATTTTAGTAGTACATTTCAAAGTCAGTAGTATCTCAAATTCACACGCTTCGCCACTTGGCAACACAATTTTTTTGGATTTGAGTCAAATTAGTATTTTTTAATTGTCGCACTTTTTGTTGTGATTTGAATTTTCATGTTGTCCTTTGATATGTTCCCAACACATAAAAGTTCTCGCTGTTGTGTGTTGACATCAATTTGATCACCAAATGATATTTTTGTTTTGTTAACAACAACTTCATCACCAAGTTGAATAAATGTGATGTTTGAGCGACTCATTTTAAAGAATGTTGTTGTCTTTGCAATTTCTTTGTGATGCATTTTGTTGTCAATGTATTTCACTGTTAACACAAACGACAATATGAATATTGTTATCATGAAAATGGCAAACTAAATAAAAATGAGGAGTATCCACCAAACTATTTTTAACACAGGATGAGCATTTTTCGGGTTGTGTGCATGTTGTGCAGTTGTCATGACATTTCTCACACTCAATGTAATTAACTGTGTAATACCCATCTTGACATTTAGAACACCCATTTTGTGTGACTTCAACAGCACAGCCAATGATACTGTTTTGTGGCAAACACTTTCCACTTTGTGTTTTGTAATTTGTTAAATTGCAAGTCAAACACGTGTCTTTTGTATTACATGTTGAACAATTCAAAAGACAATCACAACAATCCATTCCAACTCTGTAATACCCATCTTTGCATTGATAACACCCACTTGTTATTGTTGATATTTTGTTGCATTTATGCAACAAGTCTGTGCTTAAAAAACACGTGTAATTATCGCCTTGATAATACCCATACTTATATGAAAGACACTTTGTTTCAAAGCCAATACAATTTGCGCGATTCTCGGAACATTGACGACATTTTGTATTTGATAAATAATATTTAATGTCACATGATATGCATCCATATTTATTATATAAAACACAATCAATTGACAAAGTGTCATTTGTAACACTCACACAAGTTTTTTTAACATCAAGAATGTAGTCATTTTCAAATTCAACACATTTATTGTTTACAATAAATACACAATTAGCTTCTGGTAAATTACACATCCAATTTTTTTCAATTAATGATTTATTTTGACAAATTGATGAAATGCATATTCCCTCACGTTAAATGTTATAATCTACCTCACATAAAATTGTATTGTTTTTGTTACACAAAACAGAGTGTTCATATTTTGATGTACAGTTGTTAAAAACGCCATTTGTTATATAAAAAGTGTTATTACACCGAACAGTTAATATGCCATTTGAAATTCCATTTTCTACTTCAACACAGACATTTTCATTATTTAATAAAAAAATGTCATTACATATCAAACACTTTTCGTTCTCAAATAAATAACAATGTGCTGCGCAGTTCTCACACTTGTTGTATACATTTCCCGTGTTGCATTTGATGCAAACTATACCATCACTGTACTTACACTTGTCATCCAACACACATTCATTTTTATTTTTGATGTAACTATCACGACATTTGTAACAAGTTGTCGGTGTACCATATAAACAATTTTCAAAATAAACACATTCGTAACTTTCATTCAAAACAAACCCTGCATTGACATGATACACATTTGTTGTTTTTGTTGTAATTTTCACAATTATTGTCGAAAGTAAGACATTTCCCATTCACAAGTTGATGATGTAAATCACATATAACACAACTCAAATTATTTTGAGCCACTTTAATTAAATAACAATTCGGAATAACATTGTTTCTGTTGGCTTTTTCTTTAAATACATAGCTTATCCCATTTTCACTAAAATTGACTTGATTGATTTCATTTAAAACTATTTTATTAAATAGGACAACATTTATGTTTTCATATAAATTAAGAGCGATATATCCAATACATTCGATTTTAAATTGTGTGATGTTTTGATTTAAATCGATGGCTATATTCGCAATACATCGTGTTGGTTGTAGGCGAATACATAATTGGAGTTTGATAAGTATATGATCCAACTGTCATATTTCCGAAAGTGAATGAAAACAACATTATATTGATTGAACTGTCTTCATAAAATAAGAATCTTACGTAATCATAAACAGTGATTGTTTAAAATAATCCATAGTTTGTAATTTTAAAAATATATCTTTTTCAATCAACAATTCAGTGTTATAGAAATAATAATAAAAACCAGACATGTCAACCCAAGTTAATCTACTTGCAAATTTAAGTTTACAATTCACATTAAGATCTTCATTACATGGACAGTGTAGATAGTTAAACGCGCCCTTCATTGTTAATGTATATTTAGTATAATTATTTTGTTTCAAAGTACAAACAACTTCTTTGTCAAGAGGTGTATTGTTTGGGCAAAATCGTATTAACTTTTTGTTTGAAATGAAGTACCCTTCCCCGTTGTGAAGTTGTATGAATATTCAAACATGTCTGATGTAATGTGATATTGATTGGTTAATGTGTCTAAATTTGTATTGTTATTAAGTAAAATGACATCAAAACACTTTGTGTCACCCGTTGGATTCACAATATCAAAATCAGGTTTGTCAGAGTAGTTAAAAGTGAGTTGAAGATACGTTGAATTCCATATGATAATTCTTGGGTTGTTTAATTCCGGATCGATCAATATAAGGTTTCCAGCAATTGACATTCTCCCGAACACACTTGAATATTTGAACAAATTAATTGTAGCATTTGGTTCAATGATCAGTGTTTCAATTATTTTTAAATTAGTTACACAGAGCAATTTCATATCCTTTGCAATTTGAAGAGTTTGAGTGTTCTGCCAGTTTTTATCAAAATCAGAATAAAATTTTGTGTTGTTAGTAACAACAATTGTATTAATTTTTAACAACACAGACGAGAATTCTAAATCCGAAGAAAAGCAAACAGAATCTGTTGTTACAGAACAATTTGAAGGAATAAATTCGTTGTCAACGTCAATGCCAGTTGGTGTACAATCACAATGATATCCATTTGTTGTTAAAAGAAATACAACAAAAAATACGAATTTTATTGGTGTACAAATGTTTGAAAATAAGTTAAAAAAAATTCATTTTCAATATTTTTATTTAATTTTATATTTATAACTGGTTCATTGTTACAGGTTTGAATATAGATTCAAAAAAAAACTTTCAATGGTAAATATATCAACTAATTTATTAGCTTAATAAATAAAAATACAATATTTCGTTTCATTCACTTCTAAAAATAAAATAACAACTAAATAGTGTTACATTTAATTTTTTTCAAAAAACTTTTAATTTATTCACATATAAATAATAATATTTGTTATATTTCAAATTGTAAACTTTTTCTGGTACTTTTTCGACCATTAAAAATGTCTTATTTCGAAAAGCTATTTAAAAAAATAAATATGGCAACAAATAAAATTTTAAAACACCTGTTTTTAAAAAGTTGAATATATAATTCAGGCCTTTCTTATATTGAGACCTATATGTGTTTATAAAAACACGAACACGGCAAAACCTTTACAATTTGATCAATGGAATATAATACTGATATAATTATATTGTAAATATAATCACAGTTTGTCTAATTCTTATTAAAATATTTATTAATATAACAACAATAAAAATATTCTTAATTTTGTCAAGTTTAAGTTGGCTAGTCATCGATCATTATATAATTCAAAATACAATTACCAAATAAACTGTTTTCAAAAGTCTGTACCGAAGTGACCCCCAAATTTGCTTTTATTTTGAGTATTATAATTGGGAAACGAATTTTTTGTTATAAAATTTGATTATTTTTCTGAGTAAAATAGAAAAAAAACGGTCTTCAAAATAATTTTTTTTACCTGAAGAATTTTTAAGCATAAAAAACTTCCATATAAAATATGAAATAATAGTATTTTTGTTTTATAAAAACACACAAATGATCCCAAAAGTGCATTTAAAAAAACTGATAATTATTATATGTCAAAACCGGGACCTACATTGACCACCACCACCTCTAAAAATAGTTTTTAAAAAAGAACAAAAAAATAAAAATGCCCAAAAACTTTTAACAAACAAGAAATGTTTTTTTGTATATACGTCAAAGAATTTACTAGTATGTTAATAATAAAAACAACTAAAGGAAACATATATAATTAAACCAAATAATTTGGTTTGTTAAAACATTGTTATATAATACAGTTTTATTGCTATGAAATAAAAAAATGTTGGGTTTAAATTAAAAAATATTATAGATTTGATTATCTCATTTTTTTGAAAAAAAATCGATAAAATCAATTTTCAAATAACGAATAAAGTTGAAAATTGACAAAGTCAAATTTGTTTTATGTGTATTTTTAATATTTATTAGTTTTTCTTGAAGTTTTAAAAGTAAATAAACATACATTTTCCACCACCACCTTAACAAAAATAAAGTATTTGCTGTAATAATTATTTGAATAAGTCCACCTCTGATCTACTGTTTGGCGTTTTTATGCAATTTACTTTCCTTGTTTATATTGAGTGGTAGCGTCTGTGGTTTTACCAGCTTGCAAATGGGTCAGGAAAATTGTGCGCAAATAGAGAACATGGATTTTTGTAAATTACAAGTGTACAAACTGACTGTTTGTGAGCTTTCTTTTCAATGTTTTGTTTTACTTGAATTTAATGTATTCGAAATGAATTTTTTTATTTTTGAAATTCAAAAAAATCGTAAAAGTTTCTAAAAAGCGAAATATACAGACTGTATTATATGAAATTAATATTTATAA